CAGGCACAATTCAAAATGGTCAGGACGCGGCGCCAACGTTGATTCGCGGCGTTGAACTCCGAGGAACTGTTTTTGAGCACGATAGACGATGTTCGGACCGTAATTATCCAATTGGGCTTCATCCGCTGTGGGAATACATCTTTGTAGGGACCTCTGGCGAGGGAGGTTGGGAGGAGGATGTATTGCTACATCGGTCATGCGTCTTGGGTTTGCACTGATTATCCTCCTCCTCCTCCTCCTCCTCCTCCTTCTCCCCTGCCTCTGCCCAGCCGCTCCGCCCACCGCGGGAGGAGCAGGTCACGAAGGCGTTCCGCTTTATCCTAGTGCAGGCTCTGGGCCTCACGGGCGACGGCACGCCGGAGGCGGCGGCGAGGGGCTTCCTTGCCCGCCCAGCCCATCGCTTTGGGTGGTCCAGACGATGCCCGCGCCGTGTCAAATCACGACGGACGGCTTTCGACCCAGACGTTCTCGCGTCGCCAAGACAGACCACGACGGGCGGTGTTTGGCCGATTTCGGCCACAGGGGGCCTTCGCCGAGCCCAAGGGGAACAATTCGGGATGGACATCTGGGCCGGGGGAAATTGTCGGAGCTTCCAGGGACTCTGTATTCAAAAAACCATACATCGGATGTCTGGGGATCGAGTTGGGTACGGAGAGAATGGTGACGAACACCAGCAGCAGTTCTTGTCTATTCTGAACATGGCTCGCTGTCGACGCGGACGTGGTCCCCTGGAGAGAGACATGTCGCGTGCCCAACAACGGCCGTTGCCGGTGCGACAGCATGAGCTGTCGGGCACCGCACCCATGTTTGTGCGTACCTACTCCAGTTGTGCCAAGTCTCCTCTGTCTTCCCCTCCTTCTCCCGAGCATGAGACGGCTTGCCACCACCGCATCGCGCCTCTGACCGATCGCTCCGCTCGTCCGCTAAACCGGACGGGAACCGCGTCACATCGGCGTCTCATGTTCGCGTCCGACGCCATCGAGCCCCACCCCATATTTCAAGGATTATTTTTTTAGGAGCCCCTGCAGACCGTGATCCGCAAAATGTGGCTCTGAGGGAGCTTGTCTAAGCCAGAAAGTCGTGATTACCTCCTGCGCAGTTGGATTAATTGGCTCAGGAGCGAAAACGTGCACGTACATGAATCCACGCTGGTTTCGAGAATTCGCATTGCGCGAATGTTCGTATCACGCGGCAGGTCTCGCGGGTTAAGGGGCCGTGTTCATGTACATAGCTGGGCGCGTACGTCCTTTATGGGTTCCCTATTGGCGGCGGCCTGCAATACTCAGTTGCACTCGCTCCCGCCGCCACAGATTCCAGGAACCCATGGTGAGAGCACGTTTGGAGCAACTCTGACTTAGCCGCTGCAAGTATGGCTGCATACCTGGGCTCCACCTTCGAGGTTCAGGTCAACCATGCAGCACTGGGCTCGGAGGTCGACTGGGCCAAGGACGACAGGGTGCACTACGATGCGGCTGACGAGACGCGCGAGGAGGAAAAGTGCTCGGCCGAGCGCACCCGCCCAGTACTACCAGTTCCTCCTCCTCCTCCTCCTCCGCCTCCTCCTCCCCCTCCTTCTCCGCCTCCTTCTCCTCCTCCGCCTCCTCCTCCTCCCCCCTCCTCCTCCTCCTCCTCCTCCTCCTCCTCCTCCTCCTCCTCCTCCTCCTCCTCCTCCTCCTCCGCCGCCGCCGCCGCCGCCGCCGCCGCCGCCGCCGCCGTCTTCGGGCGCCGTGCTCCCGCACCCGTGGACTGCCCCGGCTCCCCGGGGGGCCCGTGCGAGCGCAGCTCCGGAAGGCCCCCTGCAGCCTGGCAGCGGGAGCCGCGGGGCAGGCGCCCGGCAGAGGCCGCAGCGACACGGAGGCCACGAGGCGTCGCCCTCGGCAGCTGGCACTCCTCCTCCTCCTCCTCCTCCCCCTCCTCCTCCTCCTCCTCCTCCTCCTCCTCCTCCTCCTCCTCCCCCTCCTCCTCTTCCTCCTCCTCCTCCTCCTCCTCCTCCTCCTCACGAGGGAAAGAAAAACACACAGAGACACAATGAATCGTCGACTCCCAGGAAAATAGGGGAAGCTATGGGAAAATTGGGGGGGGGGGGTAAAGACGAAAACCCAGGAAATATGAGAAACTATATGGGGAGTCCTGTTCTGTGTGTGTATCTATTTGTGTGTCCCAGGGCCCCTTCGGACACGCCCGCCGCAGCAGCGCCACCTCGCGACCAGAGAGCGGCTGCCCCGAGCTCGCAGGAGAGGCCGGGGCCGAGCTCGCCTCCCCAGGGGCACTCCGGCCAGCGCCGCCCCAGGGCGCGTTATGCCCTGGTCCTCCTGAGCACACCATTGTTATCATTTCTGCAGCCGTTTAGCTTCTTTGTTTTCGCTGGGCGCTTACAGGCCCCTAGCCCACATGAGTCTTTAGAAATCCCCTGGCCAGTAGATGGAACATGAAAATCACTCGGGCGAATTTATTGACAACTCGGAAAAACGACCCCGCCAGACAATAGCGGGAAATACTGATAGTTCGGGCGGTCCGACGACGAAGACGAAGACGAAGACGATAACGAGTACGTGTGCGATTGCGACTACGACAGCGATGCGACGACGAAGACGAAGACGCATGTGCGCGGCGCTAAGGCGAGAGCTGGATTTTGAACCACACCAGCCCTCGATCCTTGTAACTGTTACAAACTTTTAAGACGATAGCGCGCGGCGCTGAGACGAGAACTGCACTTTGAACCACACCAGCCCTCCATCCTTGTAACTGTTGCAAACGTTTAAGACGAATGCGCGCGGCGCTGAGACGAGAGCTGCACTTTGATCAACGTGCGGCCTCTATCCTTGACGCTAATGCAAACTGTTAAGGGCAGAGTGCACGGCGCTAAGGCGAGAGCTGCACTTTGAACAACATGCGCGCTCCGTCCTTGAAACTGTTGCCAAGTTTTAAGACGAGGGTGCGCGGCGCTAAGGCGAGAGCTGCACTTGGATTGACATGCGCCCTCCATCTTTGTAACTGTTTTCCTCAAAGCACCCGTCTTACGAAAGTCCTCAAAAATCCTCACGCGTGTAGGGTTGCTCATGCGGCATTATTCCCTGGGAGGAACAACCCCCAGACAACAGCGCCCGCGCGAACAATAGCGGGCAAATAGTTTTTTCCGGCCGCGATGGTTTCAGAATCCTTTCAAGATGGGTCATGATGGATCCAAGACAACTCCAAGACAGCGCGAGCAGGAACCACTTCAAGAATTCCGAACACCACTTTCACATTACAACCGTCTTACGAATGTCCTCAAAAATCCTCACGCGTGTAGGGTTGCCCATGCGGCATTATTCCTTGGGAGGAACAACCCCCAGACAACAGTGCCCGCGCGAACAATAGCGGGCAAATATTTTGTTTTCGGCCGCGATTTTGTGCTCGAACCACTCAATTGAAGCTGTTGCAAACTTTTAAGACGAATGTGCGCGGCGCTGAGGCGAGAACTGCACTTTGAACACGAGCCCTCCATCCTTGAAACTGTTGCAAACTTTTATGACGAATGTGCGCGGCGCTAAAGCGAGATCTGCACTTTGAACAACACGAGCCCTCCATCCTTGAAACTGTTGCAAACTTTTAAGACGAATGTGCGCGACGCTGAGGCGAGGGCTGCACTTTATACAACACGAGCCCTCCATCCTTGAAACTGTTGCAAACTGTTAAGACGAATGTGCGCGGCGTTAAGGCGAGGGCTGCACTTTGAACAGCACGAGCCCTCCATCCTTGAAACTGTTGCAAGCTTTTAAGACGAATGTGCGCGGCGCTAAGGCGAGAGCTGCACTTTGAGGAGGAGGAGAGGTTTCGGGAGCGGACGAGTTTCGGGACGAGTTTATTCACCGCCGAGATTTCCAGGGGGGGGGGAGAGCAAAACGAAAGACTTCCTCAGGTTAGGCCACTCCATTTCCAACCCAACCGAAGATTTCAGAATCAAATCCCAGAGCATTTGAAAGAGATCAATTGGAATTGGAGTTACGCGCGCGTGCACACCGCCGCGCGTGCAGGACGCGGTACCGGGACCCCTCGTCGTCGCCGTCGCCCAGCCGCCTCGCCCCCTCTCCTCTGGCCCAGGCCCCTCCTCGGGCGGGGCCAGGACCTATGGACAGCTCGTTCCAGAGCGCTCTCGTCTAGGCCTCCTAGATGGGGTCGGAGTAGATGGGGTCGGAGGGTCGCGCCGCATCGTCGATGCATCGCCGATGCGGCTCGATGTGCAGCCCGATTTGCTCCACGTCGACGTCGCCGATGCCTCGCCCACGTCGACGATGCATCGCCGGTGCATCGCTGATGCATCGCCGATACATCGCCGATGCATCGCCGATGTATCGGCGATGCGGGGCGATCCTCCAACACATCTACTCCGACCCCATCTAGGAGGCCTCTATCTCGGAGCGTGCCGGAGCGCTCTGCCACGGCCGCGGCGCACGATGTATCATGCGGAACAGCTCCACACATCGAGTGTCTGGATTTCTTTCCATATGCGAGGTCCCCGGAAGTCCCGAGCCTTTTCCAGATGACGGTTCTTCCTTCCGATTCGCTCTTTGATGGTCTTTGGGCCCAGCGAGGGCCCCCGGAGGCCGAGAGTTGTTCAAAAAAACGCCAGTCGTTTTTTTCACGACGCGAGCATGTTTGGGGATGCACTGTCCAGAACCGCGGATTCTAGATTCCCGAGTGCCAGTTGTTCCGTATGCTCTGACAAGTTGTTTTGCATGGACTGGGATTTGGGGAGTTTGGCGAGGCCCCAAAGGAACTCCGTACTTCACTCCAGTCGAAACTCACTTGCACGCTACTTCGGCCCAGCATTGCTTCATGAGGTGGCGGAGGGGGGAGGGCAAAACCCAATGCAAGTTATTTCTCTTGAGCTCCAAAAAAACAACGCGCTCCGACTTGTCCCAGTCCAAGCTTGTGCTGGTCCTGGCCTCGTCCTTTCCTCCCCGGAGAGCGAGGCGGCCGCGCTGCGCGACGTGCTGCTCGCCGCTGGCATCACGCTGATGGCCGCGGGGGGGGGGGTCAAGGACAACGTACGGGGGGCCCAGGTCGGAGGTGGAGGGGGCGCATCGGCCGCCACCTGCCCATGGATCGCCGACGGTTCGAGGTTCGAGGTGTCCGAAGTCCGAAATCCGAGGTCTGCGGGCGTATTTTCGTCGATTCCCAGCGGCTTCCAGGCCTCGGGGTGCTTTCCAGCGGCTGCGCCTCGCCGAGGGTGTTCTGGGGGTGCCCGGATCGTCCCGAACGGCCGCTGGAGACACGCTTGTGTCCGGAAAACCAGCCGGTCGGAGGGCTCAGGTCATGGGGCAATGTTAGAGAGGGATCGGGATGCATCGACCCCCTATCGCCCACTGATTGCTGATAGGGGCCCGATAGCCCACCACCCCAAGGAACGGTGCGATGTGCAATCGGGGGCCCATCGCCGATCTATCCGCGATACATCGCCGATGTAAGCTTGCTCGGCTCGGAGCTCTGTCGGGCGGTTGCTCCCAGGACCTCTGTCCCCGCTGCGGCCTCGGGGTCGAGGCGAGGGCGGGAGGGGTCCCCCTCCGCCTCCTCCCTCCTCCTCCCTCCTCTTCTTCCTCCTCCTTCTCCTCCTCCTTCTCCTCTTCCTTCTCCTCCTCCTCCTCCTCCTCCTCCTCCTCCTCCTCCTTCCCCTCTTCCTCCACCTCCTCCTCCTCCTCCAATCCTCCTATCCTCCTATCCTCCTCCTCCTCCTCCTCCTCCTCTCCTCCTCCTCCTCCTCCTCCTTTCCTTCTTATCCTCCTCCTCCTCCTCCTCCTCCTCCTCCTTCTCCTCCTCCTCCTCCTCCTCCTCCTCCTCCTCCTCCTCCTCATCCTCCTCCCCCTCCTCCCTCTCTCCCTCCTCCCCTTCCTCCCCCTCCTCTTCCTCCTCCTCCTCCTCCTCCTCCTCCTTCCGAGGGGGGGAGGGGGGGTCGAGGATGTTCGGCCGCGGACAAGGGTGGTCCCAGCAGTATAGCTCTGGGCGGGGGGGCGCCTGGGAGGGGTCCCGAGGCCAAGAGCACTCGAGGTTGGGCTCGCTATCGTCAGGCACGCAGGAGCGAGTAGCGGGCGAGCCTGCAGAATGAGCAGGAGCAGCGGCAACATCAGCAGCAGCAGGGTCACTTTGAGGACTGGGAGGAAGGCCAGGAGGGACCGGAAGAGGATGAGAGGAGATGGGTTGGCAAGTGAGAGTACGGAAGCGCTAGTCCCTCCCAGTCCGAGTGGCACTGCTTGAGCACTGGCTGGAAGGATCCGCGCCAGTGGCCCGACTGGTCATGGCACCGGAGAGAGTGGAGGGAGGGGGAGGGGCGCGGCATGTGCGCTCGTGGTTTGAATGTTCTCCAACTGGGGATGTGTGCAAGGGCAGTGCCTGCGCCGCTGCATGATCACCGTGTTCACGGCCGTGGAAAGCCTTGCAATAAGAGACAACGATAGGTGGTGATAGGCTCAGGGGGGCACGCATCGACCCCCGATCGCCCACTCATCGCCGACAGTGGCCCGATGGTCCGCCCGGCCCAAGGCCGTGCGGATGCGCTGTCGGGGGCCCGTCACCGATCCATCAGCGAGATGTCGCCGATTCGGGCTGGATGTGTCCCTGCCTGAGCCCACCTCCCCCCTGGCCGTGACCCTCCTGAGCGGTCTGCTCGCGGGATGCGGGCCGCGGCCACGCGCAAGAGGGACCCTTCGTCGCCAGAGCGGCCTCTGACGCGCGGGGGGCGGGCGGGGGTCGCGCGGCGGGTCGCGGGCCTCGGGGTGGGTCAATCTGAACAAGCGCGTCGTTCCGCACAGTTGCTCTTGCGCTGCCAGTCACATGAGACATCGCACTGCTGACAACCGGCCTTGAGATGCTGCTAAGCTTTCCGGCTCCGTGTTCGGTGACCAGCGATTCCAGTCGCGGGCTGATGATGCGTTGTGACGGCAGCGTTCGCCCCACCCCTCTGCCCCAGATTCATGGGATTCTGTCGCGTCGAGATCACGTTGCGTCTTCGTCTGTCAGGCTGGAGATTCTTCGCGCGGCGAGGCTGGTCTGGTGCTGCTCGGTCAATTCCTGAGGCACTACGTCCTCGCGTAATCCTGGGCTCCAAACGAGTTCTGATCTCGATCTTCGTGGGCGCAGTTCCAATGGTGTCTCCACTCGAGCGAGCTGGCGTGCGGCTGGAGATATTCCTTCAAAAGGCCTCGCCATTCGCAGTGCCGGGCGAGCCAGGCAACTTGCACCCTTGCGGATCTCATGGCATTCCCACGCAATGCTCTAGGATCTTCCCGTGGCGGGATCGAGCCAAGCAGGGCGCGACACGGCATCGCGACGCAGGGCCCTAAAGCAGTGCGTGGGGTTCCTCGGCAGCGTAATTCTTCCCCCGCTGGACTGGGCCCGCTCTCTCTCTCTCTCTCTCTCTCTCTCCCTCTTGCCCGTCGTTACCCCCCGCCCCCCAGACAGGCGCGCTCGCCTCGCCCGCGTCTCTCGCCCCCGCCTCGGCTTCCCTCCCCTGGGCACGCCCGCGAGCACGGCCGAGCCGCGCGCGGGGCCCCCTCGGGGGGGGGCAGGAGAAGCACGGCGAGGAGCATTCCGACGTGCTCTTCGGGGCGGTGGAGAGCTTCGAGGACAGCGGCGTGGGGCGGGCGGCCAGCGAGTCTGCGAAGCTGGGCGTGGTCGCCTGAGCCTGTCCCGGCGGATCTCCGATCGGATGGGTAATGGGCGTCGCGTGATGGGGGGGGCGATGAGTGGAGGGGGCTGCGAAGGCTGCAGAAAAGGAACCCTTTAGGCTTCCTGAGGGAGCCCTTTAGGAGGGCCCGAGAAGGGGCCTCTAGGGCCCGAGAAGTGCACTTTTCTCCCCTCCATGTTGTCGTTCCCCCATCAAGCGACGCAGAAGGGTCAAGTCCATCAGAGTGCGTGAAGAAACCAGAGTCGGTTGCGCCGACATTCGCGAGCAAGGTGCCCGCGTAAGGTCGCGCGAGGGCTCCGTCGTTTCCAATGCAGCGTGCCGTGTTGGCGGCCCGCTGAAGTCACCGCGCAAGGTCACCATACCATCTCGCGTAAGACTTGTTGTTGTTTTTCGCCTCGCCGCTCAAGTGTTCGCCGAGAAGACGGTTGTCCCGAATATTTATTTGGTTGGGCCCCGTCTTGAATAGAGCGGCTACTGGTCAGCTCCTTCCTCCCTCCGACCGTTTCCTCCTCTCCTCTCACACCCTCTCAACTCTTGTTTTCTCAGTCTCTCTCTCTCTCTCTCTCCCCCCTATCTTTTTTTCTTTTCTCTCTCTCTCTCTCTCTGTCTCCTTCCTTCTGTCTTGTTGGACAAAGCTTCCGCTTTGCTTTCGTCGGTCTCTTCCGAGTGCTACCAATGTAGATCAGCCGCCGCTGCCGTGGAATTCGGCGGAGTGGCGCGACACGGGGAGCCCAACCAGAGGTTAGCTGCGCAGGCTGCCGCCAGACGCAGGCGGCTCACGGCTTCCCATTGCCCCTCGGGAGCCCGGCGCGACGCCAGGATCTCAGGGTCGGCCCAACCCTTTGGGGTTTGCGTTTCATACGTCGGCTTTCCAGCGGCTGTTTAGGACGATCTGGGCCCCCCCTGCACGCCATCGGTGAGGCGCAGCTACTGGAGAGAATCTCGAGGCTGGAGAACCGTTGTCGACGAACGAGCACGCCCGAAAGCCTCTGGGGGGCGGGATCCAAGCTGGATCTCTCACCAGCGGCCCAGGTGCTTGCGGGCGCATGAGATGCGGCACCCCGCCTGTGGGGGGGCATCCAATGGGGCGGCGAGCGACGTGGGATCCCAGGTCTGACATCGCCCGCCTGCGTGGCGCCAGATGCGGAGGAGGAGGAGGAGGAGGAGGAGGAGGAGGAGGAGGAGGGCCGCGTTTCTGTCCGACCAGACAAGGAATTGGTACCAGTCCCGCTGCTCGTCCCCGAGAGCCCCCGTCGCTGCGGCGGGGCTCGCTTTTCCCACTTGCTGGTCAGAGCGCGCCCGCGGCTGAGGTCCCGGGGGTAGCGGTGTCGGCACCTCCTTGCCTGACCATTTGAGGCCCGGGGCGCGGGGGCCCGGGCGCCGTCCTGAGGGCATCCGAGTGGGTCCCCGCCCCTGGGCACGTGGGTGGGCTAGGCACGTGTTTGGGCACATGTTTTTTCTCTGGGCGGGAGGCCTTCAAGTGCTTCCGTGCTCGTCGGTGGCTGGGTCCAGCAGGCTTCCCGACTCACTGTTCAGGCCACAGTCCACAGCAGGAGTTGTGTTATGTCGGGCGCGTGCTTGGTGGTCCTCTCGGCCCTCGGAGGGCGGCCCTTCTTCTGGGCGGTCGCCAATCTTCCAGGCCGGTGCCTGGGAGGGGCACTGGGACCGAACGCGCCCAAATCTCTTCTCCTCGGCTTTCCTGTGTGCTGGGTCCTCGTTTCGCATCCACGGCGCCGCGCCCCACTCCTTGCCACCTCCCCCCGCCTCCTGTTCCTCTCCTTCATGCCCGCGTCCGCCTGTGCTGCGCACCCGCCACCGCCGCTGCCGTGGCTGCAGGTGGGGAGGGACGCGGTCCCTAAGCTCGCCTCATGTTACCCTCTTTGCCCCTGCTCTCCGCATGCCTCCTCATCACTTGCGTGGCGTCCCCACTCCAACTTCGGCACACCCCTCACCAGGATCGTTTCCCCGTAAGGGAGTTCCGCCTGTGTCCCCAGTGGCGAAACGCGCATGGCGTCCCCGCGCTTAATTTCGGTACACCCCTCGTAAGTTTCGTGCCCCCATAGGGACCTTCACCCCATGGTTTCAGCGAAGGAGCTCGCACGGCGTCCCCGCGTCTAGTTTGGCTCCTCTCTCTGGACGGTTGTCTCCCGTAGGGAGTCCCACCCCATTGCCTCAGTTGAGGGATTCGCACGGCGTGCCCTCTTTTGCACACCCTTCACACGGATCGTGCCCCCATGGGGAGCTCCACCCCATGGCCCTTATGGCGGAACTCGCATGGCGTCCCCGTACCCATTCCAGCACACCGCTCATAAGGAGGGTGCCCCCACACAGGGAGGCCCACCTCACTGCCTCAGTGGAGGAACTCGCATTGCGTCCCTCGCCCATTCCGGCACACCCATCACGAGGATCGTGGTTAATACGCAGTCATCCATGGCTTCAGTCAGGGTGTCCACATGACGTCCCCGTGCCCATGTTTGGCGCACCCCTGGCGCAGATCGCGGCTTCAGGGAGTATCATCTCTGGCCCACGTTGGTGTGTTCGCATGGCATCCCCGCGCCTATGTTGGCACACTCCTCATGCGGATCATGTTTTACTTTACATGCAGCTGCTAAGGGTTGGGTTCCTCGCCAGACCAATTGTTCGTTTCAGCTCGGGCCTCGAAATCTTTTTTTTTCTAGACGGGTTCTCGAGAATCGAAATGTGGCAAGGAACAACAAGAGCCCGTTCTGAACGATGATGGCGCCCGCGCTGCAAGAGAGATGGGATCCAGCGCTCCAGGACATTCCAATTGTTCCCCGAACCTTCTCAAACGTTCCTCCTGTGGGTGGGCGGGAGGAGGGATTGAGAAGAGGTGAGCGCAGAGGGAAGGGCAGGGGGATGGGGAAGCACAGGACGGTCTTTCATCGTCCTTACTCTTCTGCATCATTCCCCCATCTCCAAAGCGTATCGCCGCTCCCTGTTCATACCCCCTTTAACCTCATTCCCCGGTCCCCGGTCGCTCCTCAGCTCCCTCTTCCCCTCCCTTTGTCCCTTGCTCGTCTGTTCCTCCATCCCTATGGTCCTCCTCCGTTTATCCGGCCTTCCCTGCTTTCCCACTCCCTCGTCCATTCCTCGATGCCTTTGTAGTATCTCCACCTCTTCTCCTTCCATCCTTCAATTCCCCCCTCTCTCTCTCTTCCTTCCTCTGTCAGGTCTATCCTTACATCCTCGTACAACCGCTCCCTCTCGCCCAGTCCTTCCTTACCCGTCCATGCTCATTCCCTCCGCCCTCGTAACCCCCAGCCCATTCATCACGCTCTTCCTCCTCCTCCTCCTCCTCCTCTCTCTCCTCCTCCTCCCGCCCTTCCCCACTCCTCTGCAGTTGTCATCACCATCCCTCATTTCTCGCCCTCCTCCCCTCCACTCCTCCTGTCCGTTCTCCTCCTCCTCCTCCCTATCCCCCCCCGCTCGTCCTCCCCTTGCCTTCCTCCCCCTCCAGGTCGCCGCAGGGGCTGCCCGAAGCCTGGTGCGTTCCTCCCGCCCCCCCGCCCGGGCCGCCGAGCTGCCCCCTCTGCAGTGCGGCCTCGCCGGGGTGCGATCACGACCGCGGGGAGCGCACCACCGCGCGCGACGCGGCGGAGGAGGAGGAGGAGGAGGAGGAGGAGGAGGAGGAGGAAGAGGAGGAGGAGGGGGAGAAGGGGGAGGAGGGGGAGGGGGAGGAGGAGGAGGAGGAGAGGGAGGAGGGGGAGGAGAGGAGGAGGAGGAGGAGGGAGGAGGAGGAGGAGGAGGAGGAGGAGGGAGGAGGAGGGGAGGAGGAGGAGAGGAGGAGGCGCGCATCACGGGTCACGACCTGGCTGCTCGCCTCATGCACGGACCTGCCTGCTCGCCGGCCGGCAGGTGCCCCACGGATGGCGTTCTGTCACCCGGTGGCCCCAGGGACCCGCAGAAAAGCTCGGGGTGGCACCGCCGGACCTCCTCCTCCTCCTCCTCCTCCTCCTCCCTCCTCCTCCTCCTCCTCCACCTCCTCCTCCTCCACCTCCTCCACCTCCTCCTCCTCCTCCGCCTCCTCCTCCTCCTCCTCTCCTCCTCCTCCTCCTCCTCCTCCTCCTCCTCCTCCTACTCCTCTTCATGGAGATCGAACAGAGGATGTGGCCCGAGATTTGTCGTATCCCGATTTCTCGTCGTGTGTGCCTACCTTGTGTGCCTAATGCGCTCGAGGTGGCGGTCTTCCTCGGGGCGCTCTCGAAGCACCTGCCGCCGGACCATGAGAAGCTGCCGGAGATCTTGCCGCGTTTGTTGCAGCGCTTGCAGGAGCCGACCTCCACGCACTCGGCGCGGGACCCAGACCTCCGAGATGAGGATGGAGGAGGGGGGAGCATGGAGGGAGGAGAGTGGAGGGAGGAGGATGGAGGGAGGGGGACGATCGAGGGGAATCATATACCGATATCGCTGCCCTTTACTCGTTCTCACCTATCCTCCGACCTCCTCCTCCTCCTCCTCCTTCCCCTCTTCCTCCGCCTTCTGCCTCGTCCTCATTATTCTCTCTCCTCCTTCCCCTCGTCACTGCTGCTCCTCATCCCCGTCATCTTCGGGAATGCATCGTATGTACACGTACACAGATATACACCACCCATCCACCCAACTAACCGGCCGATAACCACCACATCTGGGACGTTCTATCCCACCCATCAGAAAGAACTGCGAAGGCTGGCTACGTCGACGCGGTTCGCCGTCGTTGCAAAATGCGTGGCAGGAGCAGGACGCGGCGAACACCGCGCGCGAGAGTGTGACATGCCCTTCTCGCCTCAGCGCCGCACTCAGCTTCTCTTGAGAGCAATCGAAGCCCCGCTCGGGCACGGTGCAGGTGCTCACCTCGCCAGCTTGTCCGCCGTCGGGCCGCGCACGGACGGCGCTCCCGCCTGGACGTGGCACATCATCTTCGCCCGCGCGGTCGCGGAGTCGCTGGGAGCAGGGCAGCGCGTAAATGGGCGACGTGCCGCCTTCGCCCTGGCTCCGTGCGGATCTCTTGTTGGCTTCGACGCAGCTTGTTCGCTGGCCGGGTCATCGGGAAGCTGCCGCGGAGCCGCGAGCCGGCAGGGCCAAGCGTGTTTCCTTCCCGGGCGCTGCGCGGCATTCGCGTGACAGTAGCGCTGCTGACTCGGCGCGGCGCATGGCTGGCCTGGGCAACTCTCATCGGAGACCCCGCCGGGCGCGAGAGTGCTGAGGCGTTCTCTCTCTCTCTCTCTCTCTCTCTGAGGCGCCGCGCAGTTCCCCGCCGCAGGTCGTCGGAAGCGGGCGCACGAGGGCCTTCCTGTCGCTTGGTGGGAAAGCTCGCAAGTCCCAATCCCATGGCCCTCGTCTGTAGATGTAAGGCCCGCGCCTTCTTAGGTACAGCCTCCTTCTAAGAAGCCTTCCCCGCTCCCCCATACCTCAGGGGCAACGATACGGGGGGGATAGGCATAGGGGGGAGATACATCGACCCCCAATCGCCCATTGATTGCCCATAGAAGCCCGATAGCCCCAACCCGCCCAGGAAGGTGCGGATTCACTATTGGAGGCCTATCGCCGATCTATCGGCGATGTATCGCCGATTCCAGGTCCATGCATCCCCCCCCTATGCCATTCCCTACCGATCGTTGTCCCTCAATGCCCACTGGGGCGCGCCGCCAACCTGGGATGCTCGTTGGGATGTTGCGGGGGGGCCTCTCGAGTGCCTCTTGGGGGCAGCGCGCGGGTCCCAATGTTGCCCAGCTGTGCTGCGGGAGTGAGAGGGTGCTAGCGGGCGAGGCCCGCCTCTTCCTCCTCCTCCTCCTCCTCGTCCTCCTCCTCCTCCTCCCTTTCCTCCTCCTCCTCGTCCTCCTCCTCCTCCTCCTCCTGCCCCTCGCCCCTCGAGACACAGCGTGCGTTTGCACGCCTCCCCCGCCCGAGTGAGGCAAAGGGCCCTCCATGGCCCCCGAGGCCCTCCCCGACAGCGTGGTTCAGGTGGGGGGGAGTGGGCAAGCGAGGTAGCGGAGACTCGTCGCCCCCAGCTACGCTCCACCTCCCCTATTCTGCTCCCCCTCCTCCTCCTCCTCCTCCTCCTCCTCCTCCTCATCATCATCATCATCAGCATCATCATCATCATCATCAGCATCATCATCATCATCAGCATCATCATCATCATCATCATCATCATCATCCACCTCCTCCTGCTCCTCACTCCTTCCCCTCTCGATCCGTCCCCGTCCAACATTGCTCCTCTCTCGCCTCCTTTCACAATTAAGCACTGAATGCGATGTTCCCTCCTCCCCTGCAGTTGTCCAGATCCCCCGCGCCCTCCGCTGTTCTTGCACACTGGTTTTCAAACTTTGTTTTTTGTTTTGATATCAGATTGCACGCGGTGTTTCAAACTGGTGTTCCCGCCACAGCGTGGGCTTCATTTTCGGATCGGCGCTTTGCTCCCGTCGTTCCGGATGGCGCTCTCGCCCCAGCGCGGGTTTCTTTTCTGGGTCCGAGTCTTGTTTCAGTGTGGCCCCCCATTCATTTCCCCTCCTTCGCCTTCCCCTGGTCTTCCTGTTGCTCCCGCACCTTCCACTTCAGTTCCTGCTGCTGTGGCTGTTCGTCACGCCCCAGCGCGGGCCATTCTCTGAGTCCGAGTCATTATTTAGCATTGTCGCCAACCGTTCTTCCCCTCCTCCGCCTTTGCCTGGTCCTCATTTTCCCCCCTATCCTTCCGCTTTAGTTCCTGCTGTTGCTGTTCGTCTTCGTTCTTTTCTTCCCGTTCACCGTCCTGTTTGCCCGCCACCTCCTCCAGTGCATGCGGTTTCCTTTTTCTTCCGATTGCGCATAACATGTTCGCAGGTCGGCTATGTAGGCTATGACACGCGTCCGCGGATAGAGAAACATACATGCCATGGGAAGGAACGGAAGGGGGGGCAGGATGTCAGATGAGGCGCGAGCGCACCTAGCTTGCCCCCCACCCCTCTTCCTTCAAAGTACCTCCTCGTCGCACTGCCGGGCGTGGCGGCAGGGTGGGCTGGGTCGCTTGAGACCTCTTGTGAGAATGGTGGCCCTGATGCTCGAAACTTCCAAACACCACACGTCTGTGCGGGTCGTCGTTTTCAAGATACGGTTCTGGCAGAGCACGTGCTGCTCTTCAGCGGTCATCGCCCCCGCCTCCCCCCTCCTGGTTCTTGCCTCCTCTCGCCTCCCGCGCCTCCCGCTGCATCCATCTGCCGCCAACTTGGCATGCTGGCCGCAGCCCAGCGCTGTGTCGCCACTGGGAGAACGACGCGAGGCCTCGCACTCCCTGGGCGCGGCCACCTGGCCGTGTGCACCTGGTGGGGCCCAGCGGGATGCGGTCTTCGACTGTCCACAACGATTGCTCGCCCCCCGCCCCGCCCGGGCGCTGACTCTGGCGCAGGTGTCGGTACGCTCGTGAACTCTTGCGGGGCCCAGCGCAGTGCGGTCGCGCTCGTGTCCGAGCTGTTCCCCCACCCCCTTCCCCTGGCCTGCCGGGGGTGTTGCTGACTCCGCAGCTGTCGCCACTCTCCCAGGGGGGATCTGGGAGCCCCAGCTGCGCAATTGTCACCACGTTCGTGGGCCAGGGGGGATCCAGCGGAGCGACGTCTCACCAAGTCTCAAGCTATTACTCCCTTCCATGGGTGATGTCTCACCCAGGCCCAAACTATGACTGTCTCCCCTGGGCCCTGCCAACTGCGCAATTGTCTCCACTTCCGCAAGGTCCTGGGGGGGGTCAGCGAAGCGCGGCCTGACCTTGACTCGAACTATGATTATCAACATGGATGCCAGGAAGTGTGCAACTGCCGCCACTTCCGAGAGAACCTGCGCACTTGCCTCCACGTAATCGCGGGGTCGTGGGGGGTCCGCGGGGCGACGTGTCGCGCAGGCCTGGGCTATACGACTCCCTTCTCCGTGGCGCTGCCTCTCGAGCAACCGCGGTCATCTTCGTGAGCCTCTGGGGGGGCCTGGCGGAGCGCGATGGTACTGTGGGGGTGTTGGTTAAGGCTTGTGCCCAGGAGACCTCAGACCATGGAGAAGTCGATGTTTGGTGAGGGCGGCGGTGGTACCGTGGCCAATCCACGATCGGAGCTCCACCGGCTTCCAGACCCTGGTCCCTCCACGATCGGAGCTCCACCGCTCATCCAATGCTTCCCTACCCGATGTCCCCACCGGATCCACGGCACTACGTCCCTCCCTGGCTGCTGCCATCTGCGCAGCCGTCCTTCCTTTCGCGAGCTGCTGGGAGGCCCAGCGGGGTGCGGCGTCACACCGACCTGAGCCAGTGCTCCCCTCCCCAGGCGTTGCCAGCGGCGTAAGAGTCGGCACCGTCGTGAGCTCCTGCGCGGTCCACCGGAGTGCGGTCACAGGCTGACGCGAATTGGCCCTCCCCGGGGGGGCCCTCCTCCCTGAGCGCTGCCAACTGCGCGGCTGGACCCTCTGGTGAGCTCCTGGGAGATCAACCGGAGTGGCGAGGGACGAGTACAACATTCAGAGGGGCACACATTATGGACGACGAGGGCGGGGAGGAAACGAGGGCTACGAGGAAGTGGCGTGCGATGCGATGATGGGCGGCTTCTCGTCACCTCGATAGAGTGAACCCATCGCTGAGTCACTAGTGTGCCGAGCTCGCTGCACTTTCGCACCGGGGCGCTGCAGGTTCGAAGGTGCGCTGCCAGGTGCGCGGACGGCCCGCGGGAGAAAAACTCAAACCCCGGGCCTCCTATCGTGCGTCATGGCTTTGGGGGCCATGACGTCCAGGTCGTCCAGGTCCTCGGCGCCCTTGAAGCAACTGTCGACAAAGGCCGCGTCGCGCATGGTCTGGCCGTGGCAGTCCCGTGAGGCGTCACCCTGCTGAACGTCCCACGGGCTCACGAAAGTGAAGACAGTTGCGCAGATGGCAGCGCCCAGGAAGAGGAGTACTGTAATACAGCGAATGCGAATAAAAGCCAACATGCTGTATATATATATTTATATATTTCTTTAGGCGGCATTCAGGACAGCTTTGCGGTGTGGAACTCGCTTGCCTGCCAGTGCAAATCATGCCCTGTGCTCAGCTCTGCTCGCTCCCGCCCCGCCGTTACGGTCCAGAGGCGTGGCCCCTACCTCGGGCAGAAACATCCGCCCCCCGACGGACTACAGTCGGGGCCCTGAAGAAGGAACCCTGCTCGTTGGGGAGGGGCTCCGTGTTCCTCGATTGCTCCACAGTTTGCCTCGGGTTCCCTTTCTGGTTCTCGATGGGAAGTCAAAGCTCAACTCGTGGATGGAAGGGCCCTCGTTCCTTATTGGAGAGGCCTGACGGCCGGTGCCGCCGACCCTGATCGAAAGGGCTA